CCTAACCCTCCGGATGGCTGTGTGTGTGGGTACACAGAGATTCCTTTCGAGAAAGATAGAAAACGACGAAGTAGGCCTGAGTCGTCTTACATCGTCGATGACAGCCCCCAGCCTTGGCTAGAGCGAATTTGCTCCAATTTGTACAGGAAGGGAAGGATGGCGAATGCGGTGAAACGCTGCACCAAATCCTTCTTTCTGAGAGCTGTGCGTTCGGTCAATCGTGAAACTCTAGTTAAGGGTATAGGGAAGGAACGGGGGGGGGGGGGGGTGCAAGCCATGAATGGTTACCAGAAACATTCCGTTCGTTGTAGTCGCATTCTTGGCTGTATCCTTGTTGCACTAGCATTCCGCGCAGAGGAACAAGTGGGTTGACAGCGTACCCTCGACTTCACGCTCTTGTTCTAGCTACAACTTGTTCACCAAAGAAGTTCAAATGTGAGGTTTACCACACATAATCATGTAGAGAGTTGCAGCATCGATGCCTTCGGGTGCGGTGAAGAGACCAGACTTCGGGGGTACCTTGGTATATGTTTTCCTTGGCTGTTCGTCTAGGCGCATCTTTCGACGAATAGAACGCCCCCGTTGACACCAGGGATGGTGGTACCGCTGTCCACTAAGACGTTCGAAAGTTTTCCCGCGTGAAAGACACACACATGACACACACACACACACAAAAAGGTGTGTCTCACATTAAAACCGGACGACTATGTATGGATGATCCGGTTAAATATTGCCGGAATCGCTTGGGAACATGTTTCGAGTAACACGCGATTGATCGCGGATCGTTTGGTCGGAGAAGAATTGGTTAGATTTCTTATCGACCAATAAAACACGAAAAAAAAAACGAAACCGTGTTTTCTTGAACACATATGGGGGATATGGAGGCGTTTTTCCCCGAAAGCGTAAAAAGAAGGAGCCGGGTTTATTGGGGGCTTGCTACTTAAACGAATCCGTGTTTTTGACAGAAGCATCGGACAAGCGCACCGCGGGCGCTGTAACATCACTGAGAACGCTAGAAAGACCTGCCAGACTCACGTCCAGGTCTGTTGTGGAGATGGACAAGCGGCAGAAGCGGCGTTCAGTCCGTTCTTGGCCCAAAACTAGGCATTGCGTGGTGCTCTCGTCTTCAACTAACTGCTGCTGTTGGTGCTGGGTTATTTTTTCAATCACACATAGCAAACACGGAAACAGTAGAACGAGTACAGCAGCAGCACCAAGACCTCCAACGTGCTGATTCCTTCGGCTCGGCTGTCTATCTGATACCATCTCCCGGCGCCGTGCTGCTTCGTGGGTATTGGGTGCTTGGATGTTGCTCAATAAAGTGTGTGAGAGACGTGTGCCACCTCACCAAAATGCCGTTGGAAAAAATGTGGCGAGATGATCTGTTTTTG